CAGCGTTCTGCAGCAGGTGAAATTCGCCTTCTTGCCAAGAGGAATGCTGACAATCGTGTGGCAATTGCTGAAGCTGGTGCCATTCCTTTGCTCGTCCAACTTTTATCAACACCTGATTCCCGCACCCAGGAGCATGCTGTTACTGCACTTCTTAACCTTTCCATTTGCGAGGATAACAAGGGAAGTATTGTATCTTATGGGGCTGTGCCTGGTATAGTTCTTGTGCTCAAAAAGGGTAGCATGGAAGCACGGGAAAATGCGGCAGCCACCCTATTTAGCCTCTCAGTAATAGATCAAAATAAGGTTACAATTGGTGCTTCCGGAGCAATTCCACCACTTGTCACACTTCTAAGTGAAGGTACACAAAGGGGGAAGAAGGATGCCGCAACGGCACTCTTCAACTTGTGCATATATCAAGGTAACAAGGGAAAGACCATTAGGGCAGGAGTCGTCCCTACTCTGATGCGGCTGCTTACCGAACCTCAAGGTGGCATGGTGGATGAAGCACTTGCTATACTGGCAATATTGGCTAGTCACCCAGAAGGGAAGGCAGCTATTGGAGCTGCACAGGCAGTACCTGTTCTAGTCGATGTCATCGGGAATGGATCCCCGAGGAACAAAGAAAATGCGGCTGCTGTTTTGGTGCATCTCTGCTCAGGAGACCAACAATACCTTGTTGAGTCTCAGGAACTCGGAGTAATGGGTCCGCTACTTGATTTGGCAGCAAATGGCACAGAAAGGGGAAAGCGCAAGGCTGCCCAATTGCTTGAGCGGATGAACAGATTTGTCGAAACACAAAAGCAGGCCCAGGCCCTGGCCCAGGAGCTAGCTGATACTCAGGTTCAAACCCAATCTCAGGACCAAATGTCACAGCCACCCTCATCGACTGATGCTGTCAATATTTAAGTGTTCTTGATCCTTTTCTGTTTTCTTTAGTTGGATTTGTTTATTTTCCTTTTCCTTTTCTGAGTATTGAAGCCTTCAAGGGGATATAGATTGGTTAGAAAGGGAAGGTGGAAGATCACCACTCCCATCTATTACAGGCCAAGCTATAAGGACATGACATGAAGGTCACCTTTGTAATTTATACAAGTGTAAACATCCTCAGTTTTTTATTGGAGAAGTTTGATGCTTCAAAATCTTGTGTGGTCCTTAAACCTATCTATATTATAGCAAGTAATTTCTCTTTCTACTATATTGAAAATGACATCTCCAAAATTTTAAGTTCGTTGCAAGTGATTCTATCCATTTTGCTGTAAATTTAGCTAACAAAAATATTTGTACCTTTATTTTTAAGTAAAAAAATATAAAAAAACCAGAAGTCAAAAAAAGGAAAGAGATTAACAAACAGCCACTCAACCGTCGATGGTAGGCCATGCCTAATTGACTCACACAAGTCATAAATATATCTTTTTCTAAAATTTAGGGAAAAAAAAAAATTCAATATTAAGGATTGCAATGGCGTAGGGGCCGGGGCAATCGTCTGTCATGGATTTGGCCATCTATTTTATTTATCTAGTTGGGCTTGTATAGTGGGCTAGCCAAGCACTATAGGTTGTTTTTGTTCTATAGCTTGGCTTTGAAGGCAATGAGGGTCGTCAAATTGATGAATTGAAATTGGCTGTTGCTATCTATCCTCTTCCTTGAACTTTTTGGTAAGCTTCTTCTTCTCCTGTTTTCTCCTCTGTTTCTCCCGCTTCCTCTTCTCTAAATTTCTCTGTTTCTTCTTCAATCACTAGTCTTTCTTTACTGGTCTATATTATACCTATAACCTTTTGCATTGTAATAGTATTGTCCATTTGTGAGATGAAGATAAGTTGTTATTGCCAGTAATTTCACTTTATGTTATTCAATTTGGGTTATTACAATTTATATTCTGACTCTTGTGTCTACTGTTGCTTGTTATTGGTTGAGTTTTACAAAAATTGGGCTCCAACGATAACAAATGGTATTAGAGCAGTACGAAAGCTGGGAAATGGGATCTCTTGTCAAAAATTAGGAAGAACAATTTAAAAGGTTTGAAAAGAAATTGGGAGTTGTGAATGAGACTAGAAATTCATGGGATCAAATGTTGAAGGGGTTCTGCACTAGGCAAGACACGATGGAGCAATTGATGGAGAAAATGAATAGAAAAAATGAATTGATCATTTCAATGTTGACTAAAATGGTTGAGGCTAAATCAGGCTCCAAATATCAATCCAACCATTACAAGTGTTCTGTTGTGGATAGAGATGAAATGCCAACGGTGGAAGGTGAAATGACTGTTTCTGATATTGGGGATTTAGAACTTGGTAAAAAGAGTTCAAAAGGGCAGGTTCATGAATTAGATGGTGATATGGGAGTTGTTGGAACCCAGTCAATGAAGGCTTTATACAATAAGTATGTTGAAGATAAAGGATTGGTTAATGAATATAGCTTATTGATGGAAACCCAAGTGGTGCAGGAGACGGGTATAAATCTGGATATTGATGTGCTTGCTTCTGGTGGCAATTTAAGTCAATATGCTCAATCTTTGCCAAAGTATATAGGGAATACTGGGCTTCCTAAGGTTGATTTTCTCCACTCTGGAGGAGAAGGACCCAATGAATGGCTTGGGAAGGCTAGGAAATATTTTCAGTTGCACCAAGTCCTTGACGAACTTAGGTTGGGAATTGCGGAGAAGTTCTTGGAAAGGAAGGCTTATATATCGTTTTATGACTTCATCTTCAATCATCCCAATGCTGATAGGTACATGTTTTCAAGTAAAGTTTGTGAACGATTTGTTGAAAACAATGCTGAGGAAGAAGACATGGAAATGGAAACTGATGAGATCGGAGATCCGACTCTTAGCAATGGTAATCATCATGAAAATGAGGTTGCAGTTATTAGCGAGCCGAAAATCGAAGGGGAAAGTAGTGGGAATGTGATTTTTTTTCTAGAGAAGCCCCACTTGAACGACGATGAGAATGCAATGGAGATGAAGTTCTAAAGGCAGAAGTTAGTGCCAAGGGTTCACAGAGTGGGCTCTTAAATGTAGAAGTGCCCACTCTTATTGCCTGGAAAATAGAGACAGAGTGTGCTACAACTCTGTTATCGACATTCAGCTACAACTATCTGCTTTCAAGACCTTTGTAGACCTTGCTGGCAACCATCTTATGGGGAAGGATTTTACCTAAACATTTGATGCAGAACACTTCCCTTTTGCACTTTTCTCTAATTCAATTGATCATGGTTGGGCATCTGGTATATCAGTAACTTCTATCCAAGGATTGTCGGGCATGCTAGTTCAACGTAGGGCAAATAATGTCAACCAAGCACATGTCACTTTGCACTACCTGCTTAATCCAAGGGTAGTGAAGAGAATGAGGCAGCTAATTTCGTACAAGATGACATCCCGACTTTGAACCTTGAGGACAAGGTTAATTTAAGGGGAAGGGATGTAATGGATTGGGCCATCTATTTTATTTATCTAGTTGGGCTTGTATAGTGGACTAGCCCAAGCCCTATAGGTTCTTTTTGTTCTACATATAGCTTGGCTTTGAAGACAATGAGGGTCGTCGAATTGATGAATTGAAATTGGCTACTGCCGTCTATCATCTTCTCTGCCTCGGTGCCTCCGGTTCTTCTTCTTCTTCTCCTCTTTTTGATTTTAGTGTTTCTCCATTTCTGGTAAGCTTCTTCTTCTCCTGTTATCTCCTTTGTTTCTCCTGCTTTCTCTTCTCTGAATTTCTTTGTTTCTTCTTCCTCCACTAGTCTATCTCTTTCTTTGCTGGTCTATATTATACTTGTAACCTTTTGCGTTGTAATAGTATTGTCCATTTATGAGATGAAGATCAATTGTTATTGTTAGTAATTTCACTTTATGTTATTCAATTTGGGTTATTACAATTTATATTCTGCCTCTTGTGTCTATTGTTGCTTGTTATTAGTTGAGTTTTACAAAAATTGGGCTCCAACCATAACATCGTCATCATCCCCACCCAAATTGGGGTTTTTTTTGGAAGTGTAGCTACGATTGGGTAGGTATTAAGAAAATTTCATTTAACATTTCGTTTAATTTATTACTTATTTTTTAAGTATGAATTGAATTGAAAAATATAAAAATAAAATAAAATAATACGATTCAAGGCTAAACCCGTCCAATTCGAGTTAGAACAATGCGAGCGGGTTGGAGCCGAGAATTTTACCATCCTTATTCAATGTCAAAATATCAAAAGAACTAGTCATTACTTGCAAACAAGCCCATTATGCGCTGCAAGCATTATGACAAAGTTTGGGTCATGTACTGTGCTCACATTTTTGGATTTTAATATAACCATATTTGACATAATCAAGCAAAACGAGAAAGCCATTAGGATAAGTTTTGCTGTACATAAAATATATATATAGGGGTGTTCACACCCCTTATATGAGGTGGATCCCACCCTTATGTACCCAAACTATGTACACCAAGTACAACCCAAGCCATTATTCGATCAAAATTGGACTAGACTAAGCCTTAACAAGTTTGGTCCTCTACTTTTAGGGAAAAAATCGCATATGCCACATTATAAGATAAGATTTCACAATTTACTACAATATGATAAAATATCTTTAATATAATACTGTGCAATATCTAAATTATACTTACAAATACTACCTTCCAAATATAACTCGAAACCCATATTTTGTTATTGACAATTTGAAAAGCAAACATTATGCTTGCATTCAATGGCTATCCAAAACAGAATCAAATCAAAAAACTCCAATGGGAAACAGTCACCTTTTCAGCTACGTTGGAAAACATTAGCGTAGTGGTCGTGTTCTTCGGATATCTCCGAAATTCTTTCGAGCGGGTGTGCTTTTGATTAATCTGCCTCATGTTGGATTTTTGACCAAAATTAGGTTGGATTTTTTTTAAAATATTGTTTTCTTTATTACACGTGCTTTTATTGGAAAATATTATTTCCTTTATTTCGTACGTTTTTAACTGGAAAGTATTGTTTCCTTTATTTCACTTATTTTTGATCTTGTTTCCATTTTTATGTTATTTCTAGGGTTGACATACACCACTATAAATGCTAGACTCTTTTAACAAGTTTTGTATTATTAAAATATAGATTAATTGTGTATGAACAGTTATTGTATTTGTTTTCTCCATATTCATCAATTGACTTAAATACTCAATGTCTCTGCCAATTAATTCTGTCTTTTATCTTGTTGTTTGTTTGCGATCATATATTTAATATCTATCATGTAGATTACCTCAACCCATTTTATTTCCCAACAAGTAGTATTAGAGCTATTTTTTCTGATTTGTTCGAGGTTTTTGTTATTAATGGTAGCCATGAAATATGAAATTCCGCTCTTGGATTGGAATACAAGATTCGCGTGGTAATAAGTGAAGATATGAGTTGTACTCATCCAAATGAATTTGAATGATGCATTGTTGGGATTTGATAAAATGTCCACAACTTGGACAATGGAAGGATGAGAATGTACTTTCATAGATCCATCTTCATCTTTTTAATAATATCATTCCAAGAAATTTTGAAGGAGAAAATGATAGCTGCGTTGTGGTTGAAGTTGTAGCATTTGTGCATGATTAAAAGTCTGACAAGCAAATTGCATCTGAAGTAGATGTTGTATTCTCATAGTATGGCAGAAGATGGATCTTTGGAAGATCATCTAGCTGAGCTCAAGGAGACTGTCATTTATTTGGAGGCTTTAGAGTTAAAGTATGATGAAAAAAATTTGGTATATGATGAAAAAAATTTGGTCTTAATCCTTTTGTGTTTATTGCTAGCTTCGTTTACTTTGTTTAGAAACACGATCTTGTATAGTCATTATACTCTCACCATTGAAGATGCGTATGATACCTCGTTTTTCAAAGAGAAGATAAAACACCTAGTTGGATCCGAGGTTAGAGATGGAGGAGGCCTTGTTACTTTTGGTAATCAGAGAAAAGGTAAGTCGAGATCACATTTCAATAATTAAGTTTGTTATTATTGCAAGAAGAAAATGACATATTAAGAGGAATTGCGGCAAATTGCAGAACAAAGGTAATTTGATTGCAAATCATGGAAAACAATGAAATACTTCAGAGGAGATCAACATAGTAGAGAACTATTTGAGTGATGGAAATGTTTTGAAGATTTTTGATACGGAATCCAAACCCAACGAGGAGTGAATTTTGGAT